AATAAAATATTATAGATAGTTAAAGTTTTATTAGAGATTATTAATCTTTTTTCCCTTTTTTTTTTTTTATATATAAAACAAAGTTGATGCTTAAAAAAAGTATTTTTTGGGATTTCCTCTTTGGCAAAAGGCAAACCTTAGTGAATTTTTCATTATATGCTTTTAAATAAATTTTCTTTAACGGGTTTTTCCTAAAAAAACCCCTCCCCCACTCCTTCCCATCCTCGCTTTATTTTAAAATAAAAGTTTAATCAAAAGGTTTCCCGTTACTTAAACCTCAAACTTGATTTTGTTTATTTCCTCTTTTTCTCTCTCTCTCTCTCACTTTCTCTCTCCTTCTCTCTCTTTCTCTCTCCCTCATCAATTTCATTTCGGTTTATCATTATTTATTTTATAAAAAGTGGAAAGAGAGAGAGAAAGAAAGGGAAATTTTAAACGGCACGTGTGTGTGCGAGTTGGCATTCGTAAGTTGGCAATAATGAATGATGAGTTTGTTAAATAAAAAATTTGCGTGTTTAAAAGGCGGTGGTGGATGTAAAAAAAAAAAAAAGTTTTCTGACGGAAAAGTTCAAATTCGAAAACTTTTTGTTTTTTTATATTTCTGTAGCCCCTATATCGTTTTTCCCTCTCCCCTTTCCCCCTTTCCCCCCTCTCCCTTCGCATTGACAACAACATTGAATAAATTGTACGAATTTTTTTTTTTTTTATTTTTTTATTTTTTTGATTTCGAACGGATGTGGTTATGGAAGAAAAGCGGAAATGAAAATAAAAAGTAAAAAAAACTTTTCTTATGTTTTTTTTTTACCTTCGGATTTTTATTTAGAAAAATAAAATTGTGAAAATTTCGGAAAGAGAAAATAAAATAGAAGGCGGTGAAATAAAAAAAAGAAAGTTTTTCCATAAACAAAACAAAATAGATTTTATTTTTATTTATTTATTTTTATTCTCGTAATAATAATAATAATAATAATAATAATAATAATAGTAATAAAAGTTTGATTTTTTATTTCCGAGGAGTCAAAGGGAAGAGTTGGGTTAGGAAGGAATTAGGTACGAAACAAACGCTTTTCCCATTTTCTTTAAAAAAAAAAAAAAAAAAAAAAAAACTTTTTCAGGATTTTTACCACTTTATTTAAATTTCGGACGATGGCAAAACAATCACGTGATCTCACCAGTTCGTTTCCGGTTGCGGTTTTTTTTTTAAAAATGAAATTCCAACGACCACTGCGTGCAAGGGATTTTCCCTTCTCACCATTTGATTTTTTAAATATTTATTTGAATTTAAATTTGATTGATTACGTCACTTCCGCCCCCCATTCCCGATCCGCCTCTTTCATTATCTTTTATCATTAAAAAAAAAAAAAAAAAGAGAAAAATTGGGAAAGATAATTATTGCGTAGAGAGGTCAATTATCCGAAATTGAATTTGGCCAATATTTTCCTGCAACAGGTGTGTTCTTCTTATTTTATTAAAAAAAAAAGAAAAAGGTGAGCCAACCGCGTTAACTTTAAAAAAAAAAAAATTTAATTAAATATTTTTACTTTATTATTATTATTATTATTATTTTACTTATCACCGTCATCATTATTATTATTACTTTATTTATTAAAAAAAAAAAATGTCGATGTGGTTTTTGTTTTTTTTTTTTTAAATATTTGCGTGAGTTTATTTTTCTTTTGTTCAAGGTAAAAATTAGGAATCGATATCGGTCGAAAGTTTTTCCTTAACCTTTGACCTTTTATAATATTTACATATAGAAATTTTTTTAAATATTTTTTTTTTAACGGAATTAATACGAATCTCTCGTTTGTCGCCTTCCTCGTGTTATTCGTGTGTTCATCTTTTTTTATTTATTTATTTTTACCCCGTGAATGAGTTATGTACATAAAATAAGACTTTGTAGAAAAATTAGGAATTTTGTTTTTTTTTTTTTCGGGAATAAATTAAATAAATTTACTGAGTAAACTTTTTTTTTTTTTTAAGAAAACTTTTTGAAACCCTGGGCAAATACTTCTTTATTTTTTTTTAAACAAACAAACACGAAGAAGAAGAAAAAGATGGAAAAGAGTTTGAAAAAAATAGATGAGAGGGAAGAGAGTGTGTGAGAAGGGGAGGGAGAGAGAAGGAAGGAGAAAAATGGAAAGTAAAAAAAAAAAGTGCGACGCATAAGTTTTAATGTAAAAATAAAATTTTTTTTTCTATTTCTATCTCTCTCTCTCTCTCTCTCTTTCTGGCAAATTCGAAAAGGATCTTTGTTTTTTTTTTTTTTTTTACGCATAATCTTTTTTTTTTTAAAGCTCAACGGCGCCATTTTTAGTTTTTTTTCTTTTTTCGTTAAAATAAAAATGAAAAGAAAAGAAAAAAAAAGAATAAAATTAAACGAAGCAGTCTTAAATAATTGTTTTTTCGGTTTTTTTCTCTCTCTCTTTTTTCTTTTAATAAAATTTGACTATTCTTCAATTTCTATCTCTTTCTCTCTCTCCCCTCTTCACCGCCACAACCACCTCAATCTCTCTCTCTCTCTCTCTCTCTCTTATTTAATTTTTTAAAATACAAAAAAAAAATTTGTAATTTCGTTCGTTCGGTTTATTTTTTTTATAAACTATCGTTTTACATTTACGAAGATAAAAAAAAAAAAGGAAAAACGGAAACGGAAAAGAAAAGAAAAGAAAAAAAAACATAATAAGCATTAAAAATGGCGGCGTCGATGCGACGCCATTAAAAACAATTTTAAACAAGTTAAATGTATATAATTTATTGTTAAAATCATTTTCGGTTCGATTCGGTTTAATTCGGTTTCATTCGGTTCAATTCGGTTTTGGTCTTTATTTGTTTATTTTTTAAAAAAATTTATTTTTCAGGTGCGAATTTTTAATACAATCGATCGATTAATTATAATAATAAATAAAACGTTTTGAATATTAATTTACCTATTGGGAATTTTCGCGCTTTTAAATTATTATTATTATTATTATTTATAAACAAATAAATTTAATAAATAAATAAATAAGATTTATCGGAAACGGGTCTCTCGTGATAAAAATTTTTCTCCCTCCCTCCCTCCTCTACCCTTCAGGAGAGATGTTTAAATTGTTATTATTACTATTATTGTTTGCGTTCTCGGACGCTTATTGAAGCTTAAAGTCAAATCGATTCTCTCTCTCTCTCTCTTACTCCACTTACGCCACTGAATCCTATTTTTTCTCCCTTGTACTCCTTCTATATCTTTCTCTCTTTCTCTCTCTCTCTCTCTCTATATATATATATATATATATATACACATATATATGTCTGTCTTTTTTTAATATCTTTATTTATCTCTTTTCCATTCCCTCACATTCTCTCTCTCTCTCTCTCACAACTTAAACTGCTGAGTTTCTATTTTTCCTCCCTTATCACCCAATATTTTTTCTCTCTCTTTTTCATCCCTTCTTTCTTTCTCTCCTCCTCGCCTCTTCCTTCTCTTCCTTTTTTTTTTTTTTTGGAAAAATTAAGTTTTTAATCGAATCACATATATTATTATTATTGTTATCATCTTTATCATTATCATCATCGTCATTATTATTATTATTATTATCATTATTATTACATCAGGTTTAGGTTTAGGTTTAGGTAGTGAATAAAACGAATTTTTTTATTTGAAAAAAAAAGAAAAGTAAAGTAAAAAAAAAAATGACGTGATAATTCCTTTTTTTTAATATATTTATTATCATTATCACTGATAAGAAAAAAAAAATTATTTTTTTTTTAAGTTGGCAACACGGAAAAAAAAAGAAAAAATTTTTTTTTTTTTTTTTTTTTCATTAAATTGAGTTTGAAAACCTTTTGCGCGACCTTATTTATGATATGGTTTTCTGGTTATCCTCAAAACGTACAAAAAATGAAGTTAAACTTTTTTTTTTCGGGAATAAAAAAAAAAAAGGAAAAAAATAAAAAGAAAAAATAAAAGGAAAAAACCAAAGGTAAAAAAAAAAAAATTCATAGATATGTACATGTACTGGAGAAAAAAAAAAGAATCCAATCAAGAAAAAAAGAAAGAAAAAAAACTGGAAAAGAATTTAAAGTTTTTTTTTTTCCTTTTACCTAATAATTTTCTTCCTTTTCCCATTCCTTTCCTTTTTTCCTTTGATTCCACCGGGAAAAATTCCAAAAAAAAATTTTTTTTTTAAATAAGTATTTTCAGGTATTTCGATGAAATCTTTAACTCAACCTTTGGTAATTTAATTAATAATAATAATAATAGTAAAAGTTTTAAAAACTTAAAACGTATACCTTTACTTCGCGTACTTGATTTAACTTATTAATTACATTAATAAATTTATTAACTCATTAATTGTACCAAATAAATAAATAAATAATATGGCGGGTAAATAACATTACGAATCGTAGGGAAAAAAAAGAAAATAATAAAATTTTAAAAAACGTTTTTGAAGTTGTTTTAATTGCCGCCGCCGCCACCGCCGCTCCTCACTTCTCCTCCTCCCCCCGCAGCTACGCTGGCTCGAATCGAACCCTTTTTCTCCCTTTTAACTTCCGTTTTTCGTCATGAAAAATTTTTTTTTTTTCTTATCAAGATACTAAGATGGAAATCTTCAGAGAGCACTGATAATGATGACGGTGGTGGTGGTGATGGTGGTGGCGGTGGCGGGGGTGTCGGCGTACGCACGCGTAAAAGATTTTAATTATTTAAACTAAACTAAACTAAAGACTAAATTACCTTTTGAGTTCGTTTAATATTAATTATTTTTAAAGTATTTTTGACAAATGGCGGAATAAGATTTCCGTTTCCTTCTTCTTTACACGTCGCCATTTTCCTTTCCCCACATTGTCATCATCATCATCATTTTCTTTTTCTCGTTTTCTTCCTTTTCTTCTTCTTCTTATTATTATTAAATTATTTTCACAAACGGAATACATTTAATTCGTTTTCATTTCGAATGATAAGACCTTTTAAACTAATTATAAATTTACTATCATTATTATTATTATTATTATTATTATTGTTAATCCCTTTATTCCCTTGATGCGATTATTTACATTTAACATACCGGTGTGCGTGTTGTTCTTTCCTCCTGTCGTTGTTGTTGTTGTTGTTGTTGCTGTTTTAAAATTTTCGATTGTCGTCAATTCCTTCCCATAAAATTTTTCATTCTTTCTCATATCCTTAACACGTCCCTGATTTCTTGTAAAAACGTAAAATTTACATTCGTAAATAATTATTCCGGCACGTGTACAAAACATTTTCATCACCCGTTATTATTTTTATCATCCGGTTTCGAATATTCCCCTCTTTCCCATTTTCTCCTCCTACTCCGCCATGTTTATCTAATAAATTATCATTATTATCATTATTATTATCATCATCGTTTCGCGTCACATTTTTTTTTTTTTTCAAAGGAGTTCACTTATTAGTTAAACGAAATATTATTATGTGCATTTTAATAAGGTGATGAAGAAACGCTCCGAAAAAAATTATTATTATTATTATCTTTCCACATAGAAAAATGCTTTAAACTTTTTTTTAAAATGACGTTGTTGACCCTTCCTTCCCCCCTCCCCGCTCTGCTACTACTTTTTTCTCCTCCTTTTTATAAGGATTTGATTTTATAAATAAGATTCGATTTGAAATTGTGATTTTTTTTTTTAAAATTAAAATGGAGGAAAAAGAGGAGGCGTGGTATGTGTACGTATGTGTGATTTGGTGTAAAAGTAGTGTCAATGCACGTGTCCACGTGTACAAGACTCACAAGTCCACGTGAAAATTTTTTCTTTTTATTTTTCCTTAATCCGATTCGTCGTTTAAAACGTAAAATGTATGCATCAATACGAAATTTGAACTTATCATAACGGATGTTGTTATTATTATTATTATTGTTGTTAATATTATTATTATTATAATTATTATTATTATTATTTAAATTACTAAATTGTGGCTAGTTTTAACAAGTAATAGGAGCGTCGTAATAAAGTTAAAACCATTTTGAAGTTTGCAAAACTAATTTTATAAAACTTTGTAACAACATTTCAACCGTTTCGGTTAATATCGATTATCCAATCCGGAAATAAATGGAAAAAAAAAAAAAAAAAAGTTTTCTTTGGATTCTCCAGCGGAAAAACTTTGATAAATTTTATTGGGGAGAAGTGAGAGAGAGAGAGAAATAATAAAATACATATTTTTTTGTTTTTTTGTTTAAATTGACTCGGTAAAAAATTGTCATTCCCTTTACCCTTACCTTCTTCTCCCCCCTCTCCTCTCCTCTCTTTTTCTCCATTAAAAAAAACCTCTCTGGAGTTCTGGAGAAAGAAAAAGAAAAAAAAAATAAAGAAAAAAAATGTTTTTTTTTTTTTATTCATCATCGTCGTGGCGGCCGAATAACGTCGGTCGGGGATTTTTATTATTATTTTTTGCTGTTGTTGTTTTGTAATTTAAAAAAAAAAAAAAGCAGAAGACGGAAGGAAGTTAAGAAGGAAAAGAAAGATGAGGGAAAACAAAAACGAAATGAAAAAAAAAAATGAGGATGTGCACAGAAAAAAAAAAAACAAAAACTACGGTAATAAACCGAATATTATTCCTCAAGGTTTTATTATTACTACAGTGATCATTATTATTATCATCATTATCATCATCATCATCATCATCATCATTATTATTATTATTATTACTGTTTGAGTAAGAAAAATAAGTAAAATAACTGTCGTGGCGGCAGCGACGGCGGCTGCAGCAGTACGTTTTGAAATTATTACGAAAAATTTGTCTTACTTCCTTCCGACGAATGACGGAGAATTTTGACGGTGGCATTAATAATAATAATAATAATAATAATAATAATAATAATAATAATAATAATAATAATAATAATAAATAACGACGTTTACCTACTTTCAGTCAGCGAGTGAGTAAGAGTGAATTTTCTTCACACGTTGAAAAATTTAATAATAATAATAATATTAATATTAATATTAATTAAAGCGTTAAAAACTTTTAATTATTATTATTATTATTAATATTATTATTATTATTATTATTATTATTATTTAGTTTTGTGATTTTCTTTAAGACGTTTAACTTTACATTAGCAAAATTATCTCTCGGAAATAATAATAATAATAATAATTCTCAAGAAAACTTGTTATTTTTGAAACTGGAGAAAACCTGAAATAATTTGTTAAATGGAAAATGGGAGGGGAAATAGGGAGGAAAAAAGGATGAAAAAACGAAAAAAAAATTTTTTTTGTTAATCTTCGTAACGTGTGTTATCTAAATGGAAAAGAACAAAGAACAAAGGGGGGAAGGGGAGTGAGAGAAAGAGAGAGATGGGGGGCGTTGAAAAAGAAAAGAATTAATTTAAATTATTTGAAATCATGGAAACGTAAAAAAAATGAAAAAATGAAAGAAAAAAAAATTAATAAAAGAAAAAAAGAAGTAAGAGGAAGGTAGGAGGAAGAGGGTGGGGGGTGAGGGGAGGAAGGGGGAAAGTGTGGGGTGGGAAAAAAAGAAGAAAAAAAATTAGTTCAAATTAAGACGTTTCAAGTCGCCATTTGTTTTTTTTTTTTTTTTTTTTTTTTTTACCGTCTTCGTCCCCGTCGTCGTCATCATCATCATCGTTTTATTCTTTTCCTTAATTGTGACGGAGGGGAAGGGAAAAAAGAAAAGAAAAGAAAAATGGGGAGGAGAAGGGGGGTGAAAAAAAACATAAATTATGTTTAAATGTGACAGAAAGTGAAAAAAAAAAAAGAAAAAAAAGAAACGTTAACTTTTTGTTTCTGCCAAACTTTTTTCCGCAAGAACTAACTTATTAATTAAGACTTTTTTTTTCTTCTTCTTCTTAACTAAATTTCTTTCTCTCCCTATCTCCTCTGTCTGTATCCCTCCCTTTCTCTCTTAAAAAAAAAATATAAAAATCAATGATGATGATGATGATAATGATGAAAAAGTAAAAAAAGTTTTTCTAAAAAAATAGTTTTAGTTTTCGTAAATCCGCAAGTATTTGTTAATAAAATTTTATTACTATAATAATATTTTATTTCTTTGTTTAATAATAATAATAATTATGATGAATATAAGAAGTTTAAATTTTTTTATTTTGTTACAAACAAACAAACAAACGATTTAACAACCGTCAAATTTAAAAAAAAAAAAAAGTTTATGTAAAATAAATAAGCAAACTTTTTTGTAAATTCTTTCGAACTTTATATGTATCGGATTCGAACGTTCGAACTGAAATTACGAGTTTATTCGAGCGAGGAATAAAAACAAAAAAAAGAAAGAAAGAGAGAATAGGGAGAGAGATAGAAAGAAAAAGAAAGAAAGAATGAAAAATTAGTTGAAAAGTCGAGAGAGAGAAATGTGGAAAAAAAGGAGTAAGGGAAAGAAAAAAAGAATAATAATAATAATAATAATAATAAAGAAAGTGGTGGAAACGAGTGAGAGAGAGAGAGGAAGACATAGAAAGAAAAAAGAGAGAGAGAGAAAGAAAATTTACCCCTAAACAAAACAACAGAGGAAATTACGGTAATTTTATCGAAATCGTCATCGTTTGTTTTAAAACCTCGTTTGTTTATTTTTTTTCTTATTCAAAAAAATCATCATTATCATTATCATCATTATTATCATCATTATTTAAATTAACAAAAACAATCAGGTTAAGTAGAAGTAGAAATAAAATCAAAAATGCAAAAAAAAGAAAATTCTAGAAGGAAAAAAAAGTAGAACGAAACAATTATATTTAATTTTTCTTTTTTCTCTTTTAAAATGTTTTTTTTTTTAATTTAAAAGAAAAAATTCTTATTACGCTCCTGTTTTTGTTTTTATGTACTCGTCATTATATAAAGAATAATGTGTTATTATATTAACACGTCAATAATGAAAATTTACAACAACTTTTAAAGAAAAACGCAAAAGATGTGTTTCGTATATATATATTTACGTTTGAAAAACGTAACGTGGCGTAACAAAAGTTAAACCGGAAGTACGTATAAATTCTAATATAAAGGAAATGAAACAACGAATAAAACTAAAGGGAATCGGGTGGATGGATGAGGGGAGGGAAAGAGGGAAGAAGGGGAAAAGCAACAAAATGAAGACGTTTAAATACGGGACAGACGGCGGTTTGTTTGTTTGTTTGTTTGTTTTTATTTTTGTTAAGGGTCGTCAAATGACGTCTTTAAAAAAAAGACATCAACCCTTTTTTTTTTTTTTGAATTAGGAGGGGTTGAAAATATTTAAAATGTAAAAAAATTCCGAATCCCCCAATTATTTATTCTTAACCCGAAAAAAAAAATTGAAATATAAAACAATCGACGGAATTGTGACGACAATTTTAATGTCGGCACTTCGTCGTTGTCGTCGTCGTCGTAAAAAAATGGCGGTAAAAATGTTAAATTTAAAAAAAAAAATTTTTTTTATCATTTCTTAACATTTTTGTTTTTTTACTCTCGAGTGGAATCGACATTATTATCATTATTATTATTGTTTGACGTATTTTGGACGAAACGAAAAACCAAACGTGAATGTGAGGAAGAGAGAGAGAGAGAGAGAAAATTTCAAAATTTATTTGTTATTAGTACAAAATAATTTTTTTTTTTTATTAATCGATTAATCGAACGAATCGATATTTCTCCCTCTCTTTCGCGTATAAGGTATAGTTAGTTAGATGGTAAACTACGATAATACGAAAGGGTAATTTTCTCTCTCACTCTTTCTTTCACTCTCACTCTCTCTCTTTTTCATTTTTTCTTCTTTTACTTTACTTTCTTTTTTTTTTTCGTTACGTTTTCCTTTAAAAGCTTTTGAATTTTCTTTTTATTTAACTTTTTAAAACATTTTTTCTGTTGTTTATTTACTTTCTCTTTAAAAAAAAAAAAAACCATTTTACCACCCCTCTTCCCATCTTCCTCCCCTTCCCTTTTCTTCCCTCTCCCCTCCCTCGGAAGAGAGAAAAAAAAAACTTTCTCTTTTCTTTACTTTTTTTTTTCTTTTTAAAAAAAAATTTTTAAATGTTTTCGTCGTCTGCTTTAGGCTCTCTAACACAAAAAAAAAAAAATTTTAATCGATAGTATTATTATTATTATTATTATTAATTAACGTGTGCGTGCGTGAGTGAGTGCGTGTGCTTATATATATTAAAATATTAATATGAAATGAAAAATTTTATTATAGATAAATAAATAATTGGCAATGACATAAATTATAATGAGATAATGGAAAGTTTAATTGATTGTAATAATAAGAGTGGGGTCGT